AGGTGTTTTTATATTGTTTGAAAAATATCTACCCTATAAATTACTGAATTATTACTCTCTCCCAGGCTTAGCTGCAGGGTGCCAAAGGGCACCAGTTGATGTGGCAAATAGTGGATGTATTTCTGTGACTAGAATATATTAAGCTTAGAAATTGTTATTGGTTATTAGCATATTAACATTTAACACATGCGTTCAACTTCCCTTGTTTATATCATCCTATGCGACAATGTTTTTTTTTTGTGTTACAGTTTCATTTCAAAACTGAACCAGCAGAAAAAAAGGATTGATTTATAAAGCTACTAAACATCCATTCGCAAATAACTCCAATAGTACTTTGAGGCAAGAAAATACTTCCAGCTTGATATTTTATTGCTGAGTTTAATTTAATAATCCCATTTTTTTGCCAAAGTCTTAATGAAAAATAAAGCAGAAACATAACCACTTGTTCTCACTCATCTGAAAATTCAACCCTGGCACAACAGGGTTCTCTTAATTCTCTTAATAAAAGCCAAATAACTGCTGGTGCTCCAAATCTGAAATAAGTACAGAAAACGCTGGAAATACAGTGCAGGTCTTAAGCATCTGTGGAGAGAGAAGCCTGGACTTCCATCCTTGGCAGGTGTGAGGAATCAAGAAAATTTCTGGGTTCACTGAGGTCAGAGAAAGTGACTTCCGAGGTACAATCTTCATGGCCTTGGGTTAGTGGAGTGGGGGGTGTGCTGCAGTAGGCCTGTTGACCCAGGGAAGAGGTCAGAGGCTGCTGGAGGCCAACGCAGACTCCTAAAAAGGCCTTACTTATCATTGTGGATTTCCTTCTCATTGTAATGAAAAGCAAAAGGTCTTTTAAACCTCACCCATCACATCTGCTCACACCACAGACATTACCTGTGCACCAGCTTGCTAAAAAATGTCCTTTCAACTATCTACTGTGGTTCTTCAATCCTGCAATGTCAAACAATGGTGCATCCATTTCCATTAACCGACTGTACCCTGTATAGAAGGAATGAAACTAACAGTGATAATAGTATAAGTTCAAAAGAAAATTTCTAATAACTATCTACTTTCTTTAAACACAATTTGGATGAAATAGAGGGGAAACCTGGTGAATACTCCAGATAGAGACTTCAATGGCATAGCTGGATTAGATTGATAGCATTGCTGCTGACTGAGCTAGTCAAGGTGGAAAGGACACAGCTGCTAGACTGGATCTAAAGCAGGTGGTGAGAGAACCAACCACAGGAAGAAAATAAATCTACCTAACCCCCTCCTCACCAATCTGCCTGTTGCTGATATGTCTATTCATGACAGGATCGAGTATCAAAAGGAATGACAGTCATTGTGCACACAAAGTCTCCGTATTCATTGGAAAGACTCTATCGTTTAATTTTCCTGCACTTTTGATTGTAGTTTTCAAAACCAAGGATTGTCAAAGGGATCGCTGTATTTTATAAACACAAGTACCAGCATTTATTGTAATGTTACATTATTGTTTGTTCAATCACTGAGGAAAGTTTGAATGTAAACAAATTGTCAGCAGAGAGTATGTACAAAATGAGCAACGAATAGCTGATCTGCCTGAGGAGTTGTGACCAGTTACCACTTTGGTGATGACAAAGGCATTTTGTTTCGCAACAACCAGGTAGCTGAATAGCTTGTGGGTGAGAATGTAATGGTCAAAACCTTTGGACATCGGGAAAGTACTGTCTTTGTCTCCGCTGTAAGAAAAATGCGAAAGCTCGAGCAAAATCTGTTTATTTTCCCTTACCAATTGTTGTAAGCTGTGGTTTTTAACCAATAAGTCAGAGACTTTGTAAATTGTGAATGAGTCACCCTGTGCCTCTGCAAACAATTTAAAGTATCTGAGAAAGAAGGTCATGGGGCAGCAAGTCCTGACAAACCAAATGGATAATCTCAGTGGATCCCATGGACAAGGACCATTCAAGTAGCTTTCCAGTTTATCCCTTCACCCATTACACTAGTATTTGTTTTTCTTTCTGTATGTGTGTAGGAGGAGTTTTATAAGTGGTTTAGAATTTAACTGGTACGGTAATATGCTGACAGTTCATAATTGTTTATTTGTAACTAAAACCTATTTATTTGTAATGCATCATCAGTCTTGTTAAGTACAGAAACTGAGTTTGTGGTTTGCATCAACCTGATTCGAAAAAGACAAGCAAATTTGAGAATACTGTGAAAATTGATCTTTACTTTTGTTATGATTCTGGGAATAGCAGGGTTTGACTTCCAGTGGGCTACCACAGCGAGGCATGACAACACACTGGAAATACTCTCCATCGTGTTGTACAGCACTATAGCTGTGCTAAATGGGACAGATTTCAAATAGATCTAGAATTCAAAACTGGACATTCATAAGATGCTGTTGGCCATCGGTAGCAGAATTGTGATCAACACAATGTGTAACATCATGGTCTGGTATTTTCCTCAGTCTATCATTACCATCAAACCAATGGATAAAATCCAATGAACAGTGCCAGATAGCATGCCAGGAACAGCACCAGGCATACCTAAAAAGGAGGTAGCAACTAGGTGAAGCTACAACACAGGACTACTTGTGTGACACGCAATGGAAGCAATATGCAATACCCAGGACTATGCGATCCCTGAAAGATCAGATTTAAACCCTGCCACATTCAGTCATGTATGGTGGTGAGCAATTAATCAACTAACTAAGATGGAAGCAGGGAGATTGTTTCCACTGATGCGTGAAACTACGACTAGGGGGCATAGCCTCAAAATAATGGGGAACAGATTTGGACTGAGTTGAGGAGGAACTTCTTCACCTAAAGGGTTGTGAATCTG